CTGCTGCTTCTGCTGCTCACCACGCCGTCCGAAGCGAAAATGAGTTGAGGTAGTTGATGTCAGGATAAAGCAGAATGATGTGCAGCCAAGTGGTACTCAATTATGACGACTGGGTTTGGAAAGAACGTTTATTTCATGAAAACAGTGATCAAATTATGTACGAAATTACCACTTTTCCCCTAGTTTATTGTTGAAAGTCATCAGTCGGAAGCATTGCTATTGATGCGTAGAAATATTTCTGATCGATTAGTGATAAAATGATTTAAATTGATCCAGGGGCAGCTGAGTTATTAATGTTCAAAATCTTTCATAATTTTGTTACATTTTCTATTTTTGGTTTTCACAAAGTTTACCCATAAGAAATCACAGACGTAGTCCTACGTCAAAAATAATAAGCGTTGTAAAACTACATAAAAATATAACCATAACGAAGAAAAGATTTTCTGGAAAACCTATGTACCCAAGCAGACCTGACAGTGATTTTTGGTACATTAGAACTTCATATCATGATTGATCAAACAAACTTAATTTTGACTGCCAGAAACTACTATTTTCAGAGAAATTTTAACCGTAAGATTGGTGAATTTGTTGCTATAAGATTGCTTTACAGAGCAAATGAAGCGATTAAAATATGCCTACAGCAAAGTTTCGTAAAATTCATAGTTCTACAACTTTTCCCAAGACATTATCTACTCACATAGAAAATAATACCGAACTCGGTTTAATTTTCTACCGAACCTCTGCGGTTACCAACGAGAAACCGAATAATTGGTTTAAACACATTTTTTCAGGCGTATTTATTGAAGCAGACCCGAATTTCGGTAAAGTAGTATAAATTTGACAGATAGAAATGAAAACTGAACCGAAAAGTACGGTAAAGTATCGACATTTAAGAATTCGCTACGTAAAAACCGAGAAACTCGGTAAACTGAACCGAATATTCGCTAAAACGTGTTAAACGTCAAACGTTCCACTTGCGCTCAACTTCACGACGGAAATTTTAACCGAAAACTCGGTTCTCTAAGCTGAGTCTAAAATTAGTCAGCCATTTTTTCTCGCGTGTGCTCGTCGGACGCTCACTTGCTATAAAAAAAATGTTTTTCGGAATTATGAAATCATGAGATGGTATAGTGATAATTAGAACTTGTAAGTAACAAGATGAGGACGCGAAGTATGTGTTTGACACATAAAATCTGTCAATATTGCTTTCAGTGCGTCACAATCAGCGATTTTACTACTCGTGAGTGCTCACTCTGAGTAAACGCTCACGAATCATAAGATCGCTTATTGTGACGCTCTGAAAGCAAAATTGACAGGTTTTATGAGTCAAACACATTCGTTAAACCCTCTTCCCGTTATTTACAAGTTGTTGTTGTTGTTGTTGTTGTTCTTTATTAGCGACCGTTTAACCATTTGGTCATTCGGGTCATTTTTGATAAATTACAGTTTAAAGCTTAAAAATTAGTATTTGAATTTATCACTTCTTAACCTATTTCCGGTTGCCTTCTTGGATCTGGTCATGGTCGGGTCTTCCTTAATTAAACGTTGAGGACTGCTACAGATTTGGCAGCTTTGAGTGCTGCTTTCTTCCATTGTTTCTTTAGTATGTTGATGATACCGATGATTAGCTGGATTGACACTATGACGTGATAAGTGAGAGCTTCCAGTTGTGGTCTTCTAGGTATCCCGTGTGGACTTCTTGATTCTCGATTATGGTGACGTCCTGGTTACCGTTTTTGGTGGTATCTTTGCTGTCTGCGTTTCCCATTGTATGGACTGTTGCTTGATTGCCATTTGTCAGCTTTATAAATATTGCATTTTACTGACAGGTCTCTTTGGTGGTGAATTTTGTTGCGTTCTTTTTGTGTTGAATCAGCATAGGTTCGATGTTGATTGTGGTTGTTTATATTAGCGTATGGATTTTGCTATCCTTCAAGAACTTGATTGTTTTTTCTATGGAATTTGCATCGTCTCCTAGTATTTCATGTAAAGAGGAGCCCAGGTGATTGGTTTTTCTTTCTGCGTCGTAGCGGGGACAATCGATTAATATAGCTGAACGGTAATTGGTATTCCACAAGATAGACATATTTCCGGGTCTTCTTGTCTTGCAAGGTGGCCATGAGTTAATTTGGTATGTCCAATTCTTAGCCTTGTTATGATTCGGCTTGCATATCAGTTAATTCTGTTAGCAATTTCAGCTGAGCATAGAGTACATGTCGATGCGTTTGCCGAATGTATGAAAGTTGGGCTGCCGTCATTCAGTAGCATAAGCTCTTGTTCCTGTATTATTTCGGCGATCATTTTTCCTCTGCAATCATCTCTATTTGATCCCCATAGACTATGGTGAGCGTTGAAGTCTCCCGATATAATAAATGGCTTGGGGATAAGGTTAATTATGTTGTCAAGTTCTTTTTTGTTAACTATCTGATTTGGTGACAGATATATGCTGCAGAGAGTCATTTTTCGAGGTAGGTTGATTTTTATAGCTATTGCTTCAAGACTTGTGTTAAGTTGAATTTTTGAGTATTTTATTCCATATTTGATTGCAATAGCAACTCCATCTTGTCCTGAAGGACGGTGGCAGAATAAGGTATCGTAACCAAGAATTGAGTGTTCGTTTGACCTGTTTGTTCTTGTTTTTTGTAGACTGATTAGAGATGGCTTGTACTCATTAATCAATATCCGTAATTCTGCGTCTTGTTTTCTGACGTCATTACAATTCCATTGAATAATTTTGGTTGATTTTCGGTTTGCTGTTGGATCCATTCTAGTTGTTTTGATGACGATTATTGGGTTTAGGGTTGCATCTCATCATCACCACCCTCTTGAGAGCTGACATCCGATTCTGAGTTAACGTACTCAACCGATTCACATTTTTTCATCTTATCGTTACCTTTCTTTTTCCTTGGGGGAGATTTGATGGGATTGCCTTGGCTCCTGGTGTGTTTTCCTGATGTTTTGTATGCGTAGAGTTTCAGTGTGTTCTCCAGTTTGGAATAATTCTCTTTGAGAATTTCGAGTTTTATCGACGAGAATCGGAGAGACTCCGTGGAAGGATTTACCCTCCTCTCCCCTTTCCATAACTAAAATCTTTTCACCACCTCCACCAGAGGTTTCCCCCAGCCGGGGGAAACTAGAATTATTCATCTGGTAATTTTAAACCACTGCGTTAGGTGAACAAATTGCATACCGGGTTTATTGACACTCGCGATTTGATTTTTTATCACTCTGGCCGTTCGACCGCGCGTGTAATGTGACACCACTCGAGGGTATTTAATTGAACACTAGTGAATTAAAAACAGCAACTGTACTGCAAGTGAGTGGAAGCAACCCTGCACGTTTTAATGAAATCTTTTGTAAGTATTTGAAACTAACGGTATGATTTTATTTGCAGGCATCGTGTGCTATAGTTTGTTTCTACTGCCGTGAAAATGTACAAGTCTCTGGCTATATTTTATACATTTATTTGACAAAACTGGTTTTATTTATATGAAAGTTTGAAGCAACGCATACTTAATCAAAATTTAAAGCATGATTTAAAGTGAAAACTGAGCGCTGCCCAAGAGAACCGAATTCCGTAATTACAATAGGTGGGTCGGTTTGTTTGACAGCGTTCGGTAATTCTTGAGTAAACCGATGTTCGGTTATTTCTGCTTAAATTTATTTTTTGTCAACCGAGATTTTCAGTAACTTTGACAGATTGTGGGTAACAAAAAGAAATAACGACAGCTCGGTTATTCCTCTTTGAACCGAACAGACTACCGAGCGTTCAGCAGATAAAAACTCGGTTGAAATCAAACCGAGTTCGGTAATATTTTCTAAGTGTGTAGTGATTACAAAAAGTTAGTTTTTCTAATTGTAATACCAGCTTAATAAAAATTTATATGGATATTTCAGAAAATGCACAATAACATTCGACACCTAAGCGCTAAAACAGAAGAACAAAATAAAAGCGAAAAAAGGGTTTTGACCGTCTTTTTTTTAAGAATGGCCCCACTGTGCACTAGAACTATTTTAAATAAGTTCGATACACTGAGGCAAATAATTTTAAGAATTTCATAAGGCTCTTCTTATGAACGACACATATGCATTTGATAAGCGTGACATTGAAATTCATACCGATTTCTTGTGGCTAAAATTCATAAGTGATTCTTATGGAATTGGTACGTTCTTATGCCTCAGTGTAACATTAGCAGAAATCGCCATCTTAGCGCCCCTCAGTGGGACTTTGTTAGTCATGATTTAAAAATCGACGTGAAAGTCTATGGGATCGAAAGAATAGAGTTGTGCTTAGAAAACGAAACTCTTCCATATGGTTATTATACCAATATATTTATCAAAATTGAAGAACCTAACTGGAGGATCGCCAATTGTAGGACAAATTTTCAATATGACAAACGACATGGGTACCTGTAAGCAACAATGAATGAATTAATAATTAAAGTATTGTATTAAAGAAAGAACAATACGCAAGGTATTGTACGATGAATACACACAGTGCTAATCGTTCAACAGCATTTGAAAGATGAAACAGAAATTCTTAGTTCTAATTTCAAATGATCACTATCGCTAACTACAAATCAGTGCACATTAGCGGTTCAAAGCAATGTGATGTTTCATATGAATAAACAAAGAGATATGAGAAGAAGATCGATGATTTTTTGAGTAAATTTACTGAAGTGATTACGAAAATCCATGAATATTAAAATGAACTTGGCGGAAGGTGGATAACTTTCGAATAAGGATTCGGAGGACACAAATTTTTCCAACGTTATAGACCAACTTTTTTTGTTTTTGTTCTCAGTGACTACAACGGATTTGAAATTAGAACCAAAATTCCATCAAAAATACCAAAAACCAAAACACTTAACAAAGAATCAATAAACTAAATCATCATAAGAGACAGAGTAGCCAAAATACACACACACATACGAAACAAAAAACTTCTTTCTGTTCTTGAATTTTTGCTCGCTTGCTAATGAGGGAAGAGAAAAACTTACGTCCGTGCTCTTTCTTCCGAGTAGTAGATAAGTGGCGAAAACATCATCGTATCGTGTGAATGTCAATGATTCTTCTATGTCTTGCCTATTATAGCCCATCGCGACTAGCGCTTCTGCACTCGCCAACCAACAGCAAGAAAGCAGCGGCGGGTCGTCGTCGGTGTCGTCCATTGGTGCCGCGGGGTATCAGTTTTCATATTTGGGAGTCGGACGGCGCGCGTCGAACACGATAGTTTTTGATTGATGATGGTTTTATTTTTTTTTTGGGTATTGGTATTGGCGCGTTCATGACGATATGGTGATATGGTGATTTGGTGGTGGTGGTGGTGGTTGTGACGGAAAATAAGATAAAAAGAAAAAGAATAAAAATAAACACATTTTAGAAAGTTATTTCTCTCTTCTCAATCAATGGGGACCAACAACGAACAGTTAACATGTTATAATGGGGAAACGTACAGTGGGTTGTTCACATTCAGGATTGGAGTATGTATAAATATAAGATTACGTAAATGCATTCATATCTAAGTACTTTTTTTTTCTCAGCTGATTAATGGGTTAGTAAGTAATTACTGGGGTCAATTTGCTAGCGATCCTTCACTTTCGAACACAGAGGACAACAAAGCACAGACATATCATAATCCAAATTTCGACGGAACCGATGGCTTCCACAATTAATCAACTAAAATTTGCCTAAAGAAAGACTCCATGAAGCGCTGACTCATTTTCATTGAAAGCCCATAGCTTTGATAGATGAAAGAAAGTCAGATTAATCTTGGTGGACGTGCGGCACGTGTGGCTCGAGTGTGACTTGGAATCGAATGGAAGAAGTTAACCATCCTAATCTCATACACACTCATATGCTCTCGCGGTGGAGGTAGATATAGATCTATCCAACACAACGAGCCGTTAGCAGCGCCGAGGAGACTAGGATGTTTACTGAATGTGATGGATTGCTGCTGCTGACTGTTGTAGTACATTTCCTACTAGAGTCAATAAATGCGACAGAGTCTGGAAAGTGTACTTGTGACCAACAACAAACTGGAATGGGCTCGCTTTTTGTTTGGATCGAGATTTGGGAAAGTTTCCTTTTAGCCTTGGGGCGCGGCGGGAAGTTACGGGTGCTTGTTTACAACGGACGAGAATTGTGATGTTTCCTGAATTGATTTCGTCGAAGGCATTCTGCTGTGGAAATGATACTGTAGCCTTAGTCAATATAGATTTTATTTTGATTTGTTTACCCTGTTACTTAACGGTTGTTTAAATGTTGTGTGCCAAGTGTTATTAAATGATTTTTAAGAACATGGATCAATCTGTTTTTTAAATACTTTATTAAAGTGTTTTTTAGCCTGAGGCTGATTCATTTCTAATATCTATTTAATGCTTCTGTTTGTGTTCTGAAATAGTTTATTAAACGCATTTAATTTGCTTGAAACTAATCAGTATCAATTTTCAACAGTAGGGAAAATGGGGCAGCTCTTGGGTCATTCGTGACTTGTCCGGGGGTGAGATTTGAACTCGTGACTTTGGCGTGAGAGGTATAGATGCTTACCACTACGCCAGGGTCGCCCCCTTTCACAGACATTTTCACACAAGTTTAGCACAATTTTGTGTTTCGAACGAAATTGTTTAGTTTTAGTCTATGACTATAGGGAAACTGGGGTGAAACAAGCATTTCCCGTAATCTGCGGTCTATGAGACCTAGAGTAATCGATTTCCTGGATACATAGGAGTAGTACTGTTTAATCCACTGCAAAGAAAAGATCAAATCCACGGCTAACTGGAAATTGCGGTAAAACAGGTCTTATTAACAGTACGCATTGTAGTATCCCCCCCTTAGCTCAGTTGGTAAAGGCGCAGCTACAAAGCAAGACCATGCTAGAGGTGGCTGGGTTAGATTTACACAATTATGCTTATGCAAAAATGGTACAGGCATCCAAAACTCACAATTAATAACTGTGGAAATGCATCTAGAACACCAAGTTGAGAGCACATAATAAGCTAATATTTCTATAAACAATAAGCTTGAAATGCAAAGAAAATAAAGAAGAAGATTGGAGCATCTTGCATAGGCTCTAATAATAAGCATCAAATGCACAGTGCAATCTAGCGGAACAAAATTTAGAACTCCAAAACGAGTAATTTTAGTAATTTTGTGACTTCGTCAATATTTTTCTGGCATAAAAGGCGCCATCTGTTGGTACAAAAATATAATGTTCTAAACTTGTACTAAACTGCTATTCAAAATGTAACATTTTAAAAATTCATTTTGGAAAGATGGTGTCTTCCACAAAGTTGTTTATTAGTTAAAAATATAAATCTCTAACCAAGACATCAACATCACATATAAATATGCAGCCATTCCATAGCAAAACGATATATTGGTTCTCAGAATTTCGTAAAAAATGATAGTTATGTTCCTTATCGCAAAATGTTAGTCCCGGATTTTTTTGTCATTAGGGTGACCATTTCCATGTTAGGGTGGTCCAAAAAATCAATTTTACTCAAGAACGACTTTTTTCAATTGATACATAGCTCACATAGTCACATCTAGATGAATGGTAGTTTAGTTGCATAGGAGTATTGAGCGAAAACCCAAAACTTGATAACTTCAAAACAATATAACTCAAAAACGAAAAAAAAAAACCCATCGCTGATTGTTTGATATGTTGTGCAAAAAAGCCTAAATTTTCAAGGAGAAATCTAAAAACATATTGCGCCCTCTGTCTACAAAACCATGAAAACAAAACAAAAAACAAGTACAATCAATGTATTTAAAAACAGTTTAGAACATGTTTAGTACAGATCTTTTTTTACCAATGGCGCTTTTACATTACAAAAAAAAAACATTTCCCAAGACAAAAAATCACTCAAATTACTCGATTTGAATCTACTAACTATGTTCCGATAGATTGGATCACTATGTCAACTGTAGGGAAATTGGGTCAAAACACGTATTAAAACTGTGTCACCGATCAAAACTACCCTATAGCAAGCAATCGATTCAATTGACATTTTCACATAAGGTCTAAATAAGTTTATTTTTTTATATGAGAGTAGTTTGCGTTTGCGTGTCGAAAAAAATAATAATTTGCGGGATTCTTTCACTGTGCATTGATTACAAGCCCAAACATGGATAATTTTCAAGATTTTTGGACTTGCAAAGTTTTCATGATTCAGCGACTAAAGAAAAATGTTCGATTAATTTAAAAATAAAATCAAGATTCGATGTGAAAATAATCAGAATTATGGTACTTTACAAATGTTTCTTGACATCGAACTCAACTTTAGAGGCCTTATGAGTAAACTTCAGAGATCTTATAAGCTCAAGATGACTCAAAGGTTACCATTGAAGGCCTTACAGCCTAAGTTTAGAGGCCATATGAACAGTATCAATAAATTCAGATACCTTATGTTTCAATTTCAGAGACGATTCGCTAGAGCCAAACCCAAAGGATCAAGCTTTTATAAATTAACTCTAAATGTATTTTGGATTAGACCAAAGGCCTTGTTGGTCATCGTTCGAGGGATCAGATACCTCTTGAATCAACTTCAGTATCCTTACCACGAACTTCAAAGGTCTGACGGGATTACTCAAGGAAGGCTTGTGAGTTATCACCGAAAACATTATGAGCTTCAGGCAACTTTTGACACATCTCCAAAGGCTTTATGGGTTAAATTCAGAGGTCTTGGGGGTTAGTCAAGAGCCATTATTGTTCGATTTAAGAGGCCTTATGAATAAACATCAGAGGTCTTATGGATTTATTTCTGAAGACCTTAATGGGCTAAGTCCAAAAGTCAAGAGAATTAACTTCAGACGCCTTATGGGTCAACTATATACCTTTTACAATAATTTAAGAGACCTTATGGTTCAATTTCACAGACGGGTCTTTATCTCGTAAACGTATGCGTCAACTACAGAGGCAGCTTGATTATATTAAATAGAGGTGAATCAACCTCAAATGCCTTATGGGGTTAATCTCAGAGTCCCCATTAGGGACATATATAGCGAGTTAATTCGAAGATCTCATAAGTTAACTTTAACGAGATTATTAATTGACTCCCAAGGTCTAATGGGTTAATCCCAGAAGCCTTACAACAAGTCATTTTTTTAGATAACTTCAGCCTTTAACTCCAAGCTTCAAATGTCTTACGGGATCACTCCACAAAAGTTTATCGTGAACATCGCCACATTTGTAAGCCTCAAGCAAGCTTTGGGTCAACTCCAGATGTTTCATGAGTTAAATTCAGAAGTCCAGAGGCATTATGTTTCATTTTAAGTAAATAATGTAGAGTAAACAATAGGAGGTCTAATGAGTTTACTTAGAAGGCCTTAGTCCAGAGGTAATATTTTTTTCTTTAATTTTAGTGGACAATATAGCACTCTTGGGCGATTTGTGACTTGTCCAGAGATGAGATTTGAACTCATGACTTTGACGTGAGAGGTATGGATGCTAACCACTACGCCAGGGCCATCCCCCCAGAGGCAATGTGAATTAACTTCAGAAATCTTATGGATCAACTATAGATATCTTTATTTATTTTTTTTTATTTTTCCTTTATTTAACGTCGGTCTCTGTTCCGCAATCTAGTGCCAATCACCGACGGACATCGATTGCCATCCATTGACGGCAATCGAATGTGCAGGAAGACAGCTTCTACACCTGCGTAGGATATCGTACCCATTCACAACACACATGGGCCGGGACCAACGGCTTTACTTCCCTTCCGAAGGAAGACGTGACCAGAGATTTTTATGCCTCAGAAAAATCCCACCGACCTCGGTCATCCATCGGGGTGTAAGAAAGCAGTCACGCTTACCACTACACCACCGGCGCCGGCATAGATATCTTTAAGAGATCTTTTGGTTCGATTTCACAAACGTGTCTTCATCTAGGACATAGGTCAACTACAGAAGCAGTGTGATCATATTATATTAGAAGTGAATCAAACCTCAAATGTCTTATGCGTTAATCTCAGTAAGACCTCTTAGTTCAATATAAAGAACTTATGCTAAATTCGATGTCGCTACAGAAGGCTCATGAGATAACTCTAGACCCCTTATGAATCAACTCCCAAGGGCTAATATCGCTACAGAAGACTCATGAGATAACTCTAGACCCCTTATGAATCAACTCGCAAGGGCTAATGAGTTAGTCCGAGAGGCCTTATTAACCATCTTTGGAAGGCTTCCTTAACATCAGCATTCATTTGGGATAACTTCAGCCTTCTTACTCCGGACTTCAAAGATCTTACGACTCAGACGTCTTATGAACGAACTCTACAGACCTTACGAGCCAATTCCAGATCAACTCCAAAGGCTTTAAATTTAGAAATGTTGAGGATTAGACAAAAAGGATTATTGCTCAACTGTTGAGTGTAGAGGCCTTTTGATTAAACTTCAGAGATCGTTTGGGTGACCTTTGAATACCTTAAGGACCAAGTCTAGAGGCCTTATGGGCTAACTATAGACATCTTTTAGATACACTTCCTTGTGGCATGCGTGTCGCAAATCGGTTATGAAAACTTCTATACGACTTATTTCAGTCATCAATAAGTTACTGCAACTTTTTCCGACGGATGGTAAGCTGATTCAACTTCAGAGACGTCTATATGGAAATACTTAATGGGTCTATTCCAGTTTAACACCGGAAATCTTCTGGATTCAGCCCAAAGGCTTAACACGTGTCCTGCTCATCATGTGCGGTTTGCTTTTCTTTATATTTACTCCAAAAACTACAAATAGCTTGACATACTAGTCGATTAACTTCATAGACCTTGTAGGTATACTTCAACCACCTGATTCCGGACTTCGAAAAGCTTGCGAGTTAACTTTAGAAACCTTATAAATCAACTCCCGACACCTTTTGGGTCAATTTCAGAGACATCACGGGCTAAATTCAAAGACCACTTTGGGTCAACCAAGACTGACTTATGACTTAACTTACAAGTCCTAAAGGGTTGAGTCTAGAGTTCTAAACATATATCTCTTAGTTAAACTTCAAGGGCTTTATGGTTCAGGTTTTGAGACATTACGGGGACTAGCTCTAGGGGTTAACTTCAAATATGTTTAAACTCATTTCCAGAGAAATTATGGTCTAAGTTCAGAGACCTTACGAATTCGATTCCCGCTCCGATCGAGGAAATCTTTCAGGCTGTAAATTTTCTCGACTTCCTTGGGCATAAAGTAACGTTAAAGTAAATAAAAAATAGGTTAAGAGCTAGCAAAACACTCGCATAAGAAGCGTAAATGCAAAAAGAAGAAGAATATGTTGTTTCCACAGGACTTATTGAGTTAGCTATGAAGTCCTTGTGGGATAGCTATCGAAGGCTGGTGTAGGACTATTAGGCCGAACGTCATTAGGTCGAAGATCGTTAGGCCGAAAGCCATTAGGCTGAAGGCCAAATGCAATTAGGCCGAAAGCTATTAGTCCGAAAGCCATTAGTCCGAAAGTCAGGCTGGAAAGCCATTAGGCCGAATTGTGATGAAAATCACAATAAAGAAGCATTAGTCCGGATGTCATTTGGCCGAAGATTGAAAAGTGAAATCAGCTCTGTCCGACAATTAAAATTATATTTTCTAGCTTATCATGAATAACAATTGAAAAACCAAACCGATTGATGCGATTCCTTGAGCCCAACTTTTTATCATTCTGACATGGAAAAAAAATATTTTTACAAGTAAATTTTCTTTAGAATAAAAGAAAGAACGGATGTTCTTGGATTTTCAATACATTTTTTCATTATTTTTAGAAACATCAAAACGTTTTTGAAGAGTATGCTCAGCAGAGCAGTTCCATGCCGAACAGCGAAGAAATAAACAAATATTAGATTTTACCTCTCCGAGCTCCATGAAACTTCGCATTATTGTTCCCTAGGAGCAATGCACCAAGTTTTTGCCGAAATTCGGCCATTTGGGCTTCCGCAAAATTTTTCAAATAGCGTATTCAAAAACGGTTCATCTAATCCAAATGAAGTCTGAGACAAAGTTGTAGGAAATTAGATTGCTTTTTCAGAAGAACAGAATACAAATTTTCATCAAAAATAAAAAAAAAAAACAGTTCAAAACTTAAATAATTATCATAAGAAGCACATTTCCTAAGATTTTTAATTTATGTATAAAGCTTCAAATCTTCAAATTATGACAATTCAAAATTGTTCAAAATCGTAGAACATAAACTTTTAGTAAAATGTTTGAACATTTTTTTCACGCAATATATTTCTGTGAATTGTACATAGGATTTGTACATTTTCTAAAAATGAATAAAAATTAGTTTGTAGACAGAGGGCGCAATATATTTTTATATTTTTCCTTGAAAATTTAGGATTTTTTGCACAACACATTCGGTTTTGAGTTATATTTTTTTTGGGTTTTGGGTCTTCGCTCATTGCTAACATAGTAACATAGTGTAGTATGGTATAGTATAGTAGTAGTCACATCACAAACAGTTACCTTTATGCCCCTTTCTCATCTTCCCTACCATTAAATGGAGAGAATTTCAGGCTCAGCTCAGCTCATCGGACCTTTTCTATTCAAATGAGCTGTAGAGCTGTTCCAAAGAACCGGTTCACCTTAGTGAGCTGAACGGGTCAGATCCGCTCAGTAAAGTATGCTGTTGTGCCCACCTCTAGTTAACTATAAAGGCATTTTTCGTTAACTTCAGATGGCCCAGCTTTACAGGGCTGATGGGTGCGAGTTTCCAGGTTTTTCTAGAGTTATGGTACCAATGGCAATTTAATGCACCGATATTATAGCAAATTTTCTCATTTTAAATGACAACTGCACTACAAATAGTTTCAATTTAATTAACAAACATATATCCGATACTGAGTTTTAGATTGGTAAACTAAGCTCGTCGGAAGAAATCCTAGTACGGAGCATTCTTCAATCAAGTATCACGTATCTTCTTGATTGAGAAGAACGAATTAGCTATCCACTAGATTACCTGACGTTCTCAAACAAGATGAGAGCGGCAGATGGAACTACAATCGATTCATGGAAAAATACCGAGTGTAAGACTGCGATAAGGTGAATCGAAAGTCCGGTTAAAACCAGTTGCAATCTGGTTTGCCCCATTCGAGATAAGGTAACATTGAGGTGCGTCTAATGCGGCAGGTAATGCTTCTGTTATCCGCACTTTGACATTGACTGTTGACAGTGCTGATGAGCACGTTGTTAAATGTTTCTTCCGAGCGAAATTCCATTTGACGTTACGAAACAATAATTCAAAACACCACAATTCATTCCGGTAAACTGTTGAAACCATCCGACGGTGAGTGTTCCAAAATGAGTAGACCGCTGGGTGTTCCATTCCTAGGCATTTTTTTCTCTATTCTACGTGATAAAAATGGGGAGCAGGGAAACAACGAACAGCAAAAACAGTAACAGTTAACAGAAATGGTCATTCCAGCAAACAAACAGATGAATCACATTCACGACAAAACGTACTCAAGAGGGTAACATTCCATTTTTTTTCGAATTCAAAAGATATACACAATAATTTGAGATGAAATCATACAACATCGGTGGGAAAACTACGAGGGGTAACAAGTAATCAAAACAATGAATCAAATGGAACAAAATGATGAAACATTTAAAATTCGTAAACTTGGCAATGAAGAAACAGAATAAGTTAACAGTAGAGAAGACAGAGGTAGTGTTACAGTACTGATCCGTTCGCCCGACGGTTTGACCGTCGGACCGCGTGATGATTGTGGCAGTTGTTGACTGTTGTAGCAGTAGTTGGTTAGTGATGGTGGTCGTGGTAGTCCTCCGGGAAAATGACACTCTATTAGCTAGAGAAGTGGTGGTACGGAGGCTCTAGGAGCCGTCGCGCTGGAGGAAGAACTGAACTTAAACTTTGAGCCCGGAAGCTTGTTGGAGCTCTGTTCTTCGGCTGCAAGATTCGCTTGGTTATAATATACAAAGCGTTCTGAGCTATAGTTCTGAGAGATAGAGAGGGGTAAATCAAGAAAACCGAAACGAAGGCCTTGGTCGTTTGGAGGGAAATTTACTTGAGTGAAATTAGGAAAATGAGTGGGAATGTTGACACAGTGACTAAAGTGCCATTTCTTCGATGAGAGACTTCCTAGTCAGTGGTAACAAAATTATTCGCTCGAGGATGAAATGAAGCGGAAAAATGTGTCGAATGTGTCTTTTGGGTTCTGTGTTTCCAATCAGAGAAATTAGACAGAGCAGCTTCGGAAGAACTCTTCGAAAAGTGTAACTAAAATAGGTAACTAAACAAAAAGATTAAGGAACAGAACGTGTTACACAAAAAGACGGACAACGCAACGTAACCGAAACAAAAAGAAAACGCACGAGAGTATTGGCACGTAATGATGGTAACAATTTCGTAACAAAACAAAACGAACAAAAAAAAATTGTGGGAGTCGGTCCAACGAGGAGTGGGTGGGAGATTATAAAAATCGATCTGTTTTTTGTTTACTTTTCAAATATGTGTTCATACATATAAAGGGGGAGGAAACGGGGTAAAACGAGCGAGAACACGAGTTGGAGATAAGAGTACACGGAATTCAAAAACGAACGGAACGAAACGGAAAAGAACACGAAACGGATTTACGCCAGCAAGTGAATAGTATTAGTGTGGAATACAGTACCCGTCTTACCTATCCGTTTCTGATCTTTCAGATCGGGCTTAGGTTCAATGAAGGGTATCAGCTCGTCTTCCTCGTAGCCCATGTTCATCCACTTGTCCTTCATAATGGACTCGAGGCTGGCCCGTTTGGCCGGATTGAGGACGAGGAATTTCTTCAGCAGGTTTTCGCAGTCTGTCGACATGTAGAAGGGAATTCTGGAAAAGATAGAAAGCAAAACAGAGTAACCCATTAGCAAACGCGTCAACGCAAACCTTCCTTGGACCAACTGTAATTACCTATACTTTCCCCGGAGGACACGTTCCCGCAGTTCTCGTAGCGTCGCACCGTCGAACGGGAGCGACCCACTGACCAAGGTGTACAAGATGACGCCGAGCGACCACACGTCCACTTCGGGACCGTCATACTTTCTACCCTGGAACAGTTCCGGTGCGGCGTACGGAGGCGAACCGCAGAAGGTATCTAGCTTCGAGCCGGGCGTGAATTGGTTCGAGAAACCAAAATCGGCAATTTTGATGTTCATTTCACTATCCAGTAGCAGGTTCTCTGCCTTTAAATCTCTGCAAGTATAAATATCACCATTAACATTAGCAGTCCCAGACAACCCCAGCGCAATCCAACTTACCTATGGATAATTCGCTTCTGGTGGCAGTACTGGACGGCGGACACGATCTGTCGGAACTTGGCGCGAGCCTCCTTTTCCTTCATCCGACCGTGCAGGACAAGGTAGTCGAACACCTCACCGCCGGATGCGTACTCCATCACCAGGTAGAGCGTCTTCTCGGTTTCGATCACCTGAAACAGCTTGACAATGTTCGGGTGGTCCAGCAGTTTCATTATTCGCACCTGGGTGGGACGAGAAAGCGAAGGAATATTTAATGTAATTAAAGGGTGACATCTTCTGAGAAAGCACGCTTTCCTTCCAGGTATAGAAAAGACGACAATCCATCTGTGAACCGTTGAGCGAAAAAGCTGTGCTGTAATTAAAGCGTCGACAGCAATTAGTTATAATCCTGCTCAGGCTAGAGGTGGAAGTTTGCTACACTGCCTATAATCGCATATCAGTCCCATGTGAATTTTCATCAGTTTTGAGATAACAACGCTATCCACTACCAATAGGCATCTACTTTCATATTATGTATGTTTTATGGATTTTGATCATGAAAAATAGGAAAACAACAACAAGTCAATCCTGATCAATGTGGGCGTCTTAGTGGAATACCTGTATAAAGAGGGAGAGAAAGATTAGTAATTTCCATTTAATTCCACTACCTTATTTGCTTATCCTTGACAGATACGCGTATTTCGTCTACAATGTGCAGACTTCTTCAGTGTCTTGTACTAATAATACAGTCGAGTATTAGTACAAGACACTGAAGAAGTCTGCACATTGTAGACGAAATACGCGTATCTGTCAAGGATAAGCAAATAAGGTAGTGGAATTAAATGGAAATTACTAATCTTTCTCTCTCTCTCTCTTTAAACAACAAGTCAGTTTGTCTAAGTGTCCCTAATGTTGGGTATATTTCGAAGGATAGCATTGTTTGCCAATTCTTCACTAGCTACCAAAAATATCCATTTGTATTGTCCATGTGACACATTGTTCTGACAAAAATTGAAGAGCAGACCCAATCTTTATAACGATAGCCCAACATTAGAACCATTTCCCCTATAACAAAACATATTTTTCAGATATTTACATAGAAATTGCACTTCCCAACTTCGACGACCATTTTCTCAATGCCTATTTTTTCCACATGGGCCTGACATGCGATTATAAGCAGTACAATAGTCTGATGGTTTTTCCTTTCATGAAACGTGAGGGAGGAATGGAATACTGGACTTTCTAGCGTTAGCTTAGATGAAGTGACCTTGGTAACATAATAAATCACTCACAGATGAGATGGCGCAGTGAGCAAGAAGGAAAATCGTGCATGGGCGACAGAGCTGCTAACACGTTTTGGCGTAGTGTTCGGTCTGTTATTTATCATCCGATTGATATCATCTGTTTGGAAGGTTAAATATACCATGCAAGCACCATACATTTGGATTTACAGGGGCAGTTCGGTGATTACTCGATTTAATCTTTTTACCATCTTTAGGATATAATTTTGTTATAATATACAGGGTGGTCACTGGATTTCAGAAATTAAATTGAATTCCCGGTTTTTCCCGGGTGCCCAGCATATTTTTCCCGGTTTCATATAAATTAAAAAAGAAATACCATCATGGCTGAAATAAGCAAATACAGGATTTTAATGTTAAGGCAAAACTGCGGAAAATCACCTTAGATGAAAAAACAGATAGCAACAGAGTTTAAAATTATGTTTCTTAAATTTAAAGGTCACGAATTTATTTGTTTTTCCAAGATCGAATAAGTTTTTTTTTTTTTCAAAATATGTGATATGTATGTGGAAGATTGATTGGTATTGTAGTGAATCTTATGGAAATGACCGGTTGAGAGTGTCTGCCGAGTGATGAAGCGCTACCCGAGCAGGAACTGATAGGTAATCGATAACAAATGAATATCTTTCTGTGATATGGTACCAGATTTTGGTATGCTTGTGGTATAAAACCTTGTTTTGATACTATACAGTTATCGAAATATTTTGTAAAATATCAAATGAATACCAAAATAACAAAATGTGATTTTTCAGTTTTTAGACAATAACACCTAAAAGAGTTATTGAATTGGTATTAGAAGCCCTTCAAAATAACAAACTATGGTATTCTGGCATCTAAAAAAGCGTCTGTTAACCGTTTGTTATTGTAAACTAAATTATTTATTAGCTCGTTATTCGTAGAATATCTTTGAGGTATTATTTTTGGTATTTTACCTTTTATGTCAGCCACACTAGTACCATATATAGGTTGCCAGTTATGCTTTTTTCATACCTAAATTTAGTATTAATAAGTTATTTTTTCCTGCTCGGGTACCATTATAACTATGAAAGATTGGGCTAGAAAAGGAAATGTGGACGTTGCCAAGTTGAAGGGTGACTTGAATATTAGCAGGAAGAATCTTATCACCAAGCATGTGAGCGGCTGATAGAAAAAAAAAGACAGGAGATGAAAAAGTTTGTGATGATCGATCACAGTCATGCAAACCATCCGTTTTGATTATTTATTGCTTATATTTATTATTGGTAGGGGCACGTGGTTTCATTTGAATAGCTTCTTTTACCAGGGCTTGAACAATCATCGCGTCGGTCGTAGTTTATTGTGATGTAAGGGGGATGATGGTAGTCTTAAAAATATGGAGGTTATATGGGTTCTGTTCATGTCTTACGCAAGGACGAAATCGAAACAATGAACGACCCGTAAATGTATACTTTAATGAAGGCCTAAGTGAGTTTCGTAGCTTTGTCTCCGGGTTTGAAGGATCTGTGGTTACAGTTACAATACATCTTAAAACTATAGTCTAAAGGTACAACACAATAAACATTTTATCTTCCGCTATCCAATGAGCCTCCTCCACCAGAACGGGAGCCGCTTCCAGTGGTTTCATAGTATGGCAGATTCGCCAACGGAGGTCAGAGCGCTTCCATTGCAGCAATGGACGCAAAACGTGGTCAGCACTCACACATTCATCACAAAACGGTTGCTTTCCAAAGTCGACGACGCGTCGACTGAAAGAACTGCTGATGAAGAACAATGAGAAGGACCACACAATGGTTGCTTCCGAGTAAACAGACAATCGCGTGACAAACATTGAGAGCGGTCTGCTTCTGTTGACAGCCGAGTGAGTTTGAAATTAGTTTCAAGAATGTTCCGACACTTTCACTAGAGGAAATTTTGAACATTATAAAAAAGACAGAGTAGCATTTCAGGAGATTCTAAAGAAATTCAATTTTAAGGAGAATTTCGTGAGAATTCCAAAGATAACTCCTACAAAATTCCAAGAGATTCTCTCAACACCATTCTGAGAAAAATTCCAAGAGAATTTTGGTTTAAATTCCCATGCAATTCTCAGGAAATTTCCTGAGAAATCCAAGGAACTTTTATTACTTTTCTAATTTCGAAGGGCACACCAAGAGATTTCTAAGAAATATATCAAGAGAATTTTAAGAAAAAAAAAAATCGACGGAAAATTAACGTATATTCTAGCGAGAAATTTAAAAGCATGCGAAGATAAATGTAGACTGAATTCCCAGAATATGCTCGAAGGAATTCCAAATCTGTTTGAAAAAGAAACTTTCTAGGAAATACTCGAGAGAATCATAAAATTCTTCAGGGGAATCTTGAAAGTAAATCTTACGCTTAAGATCATGAGTTCAAATCTCATCCTCATCTCAAGTCACGAATGACCTAAAATGTATTAAAGTGACTATAATACAAACAAAAATCTTTGGATTTTTTTGAAATTATCGTAAGGAAATCTAAGTCGAATTTCCAAAGGTGTCATGACATAAGTTCGAAAAATTTTAATTTAATAAATTCAATACATACTTGAAAATTGTACAATATCCCGTACACAGAAGTTCAAGTCTAATATTAAGATGTTTTTCAAGATTCTGAGACCATAATAAGTAACAAATTTAAAGATCCTGGGGTAAGAAAACTGTTCAATATTATGAGGCCATAAATCTCTGAAAACTGTAACTGTGAGAGGTATGGCTCGTAACTCGTAAAAATCCTATTAAATTTCCCAGACATGGATACATTTTATAGATTCTGTGACATTAAAAATTAACAAAAATATTCAAAATGTCTGACATCGGATATCGAAAAACCTTCTAACAGATGAACAAAAAATTACGTGTCCGAGGCATAGGAATTGAATAGGATTTTCACTGGAATCATTTAAGCAAATCTTGGACGATATATGACGTGATTTTTTTTTCGAAACTCTACGACAGTGTCATTTAGTTTAGATCTCAGAATTATTTTTTGGAATCCCGTACTGAGTTCAGCATTCTGAGCTTGAAGAAATATTCAAGATTTTAAATGAAATATTCGAGACATCGGACATAGAATTTTTAATATAACAGGATTTTTTATTAAAAAACTACAAGGGACAGCCCTATGGGGTTGTACGCAATGGTGACGTAGGATTACGTGGTCTTATATAATAAATCGTAGTTGTTAACTGCAGCAGGAGCTTGTGTTTTGTGTAGGAATAGAAATTCGAGCAAGGTTCTCTCTGTTTATACTCTTTAGTATTACGCGCTTGACATAGATGGCCCACAGCGACTCACGAAGAGCTACTGATTCCGATCGATAGCGGTGCGGCTTCTTCCTCCCTCTATGGATGCTCATGCAGGCAGCCTTTCGTTGTGTACTGAAGAACAATGTTCAACGCCAAGTGCCGAAAGCAATCCTGCTGCTGCTGATGCCGACGACCGGACACCACTACACACGGTTATTGGCAGCCTTGATAGCTAGCTGCTTGTGGGGAGCCTTTCGTTGTTTACTGGAGAACACCACCACTTACTACGCGGTGATTGAATAAACACCGTTTGGTGAGACCGGATGGAATTAAACTTTGAAATCTGTGTTAGGGAAATCGCTTTTCGAAGGCAATCGGTGATAATTTTGATTATCATAGAATCAGTTGCACATTTATGCAATTTTCAATAGCGCCATTTAAAAAAAAATGGTAAAGTCTCAAATCTTACAGATGCGTAGAAATATTTCTGATCGATTGGTCCTAAAACTATTGAAATTGGTCCAGGGGCAGCTGAGTTATCAACGTTCAAAATCTTTCATAATTATGTTACTTGTTCCATTTTTTGATTCTCACAAAGTGTACCCCATATAGAAATCACAGATGTAGTCCTACGTCAAAAGGTATTGAATGGGTGCAAACATTCAGATTGAATAAATTAAGCTCCTCAAGTTTTAGT